CGTGTGTGTGTGTGTGTGTGTGTGTGTGTGTGTGTGTGTGTGTGTGTTCCGGGGAGGGACGGGGAAACAGGAACAGCTAAAGTGCATCAACTATCCTCCACGCTGGGGCGAAAGCAAGGGCACATCCATCACACACTGACAACACACACTGAAATATACACACACACACACACACAGATATACACACACACACACACACATAGACACACACACAGCGAGTCGACAACAGGCTAAACAATATTTAATGAGCAAACATGTCTGACATGAAATCAATCAGTGATGGGGTAATAATAATGATTATCCAAGTTTAACTCTGCTGTTGACCGAGAACCTGAACAAGGAGGGCAGAGGCCACACACACACACACACACACACACACACAAACTAAGAGAATCATCACAGTGTTTTAAATTAAACCAGCTGATTCAGAGAAATACGTGGATGTGTTTCCAAACTTTAAACACACATAAGGTGGTTTTCTGGAGCTGAACTGCTGAGCTTTAAGACTCTCTGCTTCCTTACTATCTTCGCTCAAACCAACAACCAGGAAATAACACATCAACACTAGGGCCTGCCTGACACATAGGCGAGCCAATTAAATCGGCCAATTTTAGCCTGTTTGAGACTAATCGCTAATCGGCCAAAACTCGCCGATTGTCGATATTTTCATGAATAAAATGCGTAGAATATGATTCAGTGTGTAAGATGGCGCTACAGCGACCTCATGCCAATCTTCATCCACTAACTACCTCACAGCACAGCAGAGTGACGGATCTGAAGCAGGCAGCTCAGGGACGCACGGAGGAGAGTGGTCCGCCTCAACGGGAAATAAACCAGTTTGTGAAAAACACAATAAGTCAACAAGTTTCAGTTCAACCCACTTCACCATGTTCCCCGCTGTGCTGGTCTCGGTCACGTCAAGTTAATGCTGAAGCTCCATGTAATATGCAAGCTAAAGTTAGCGTTAGCCACCTGCTATTAGCCTTGCTACACTGTTAGCCGTGTCAGTAACGGTAGAATAAACAACAGTACACATTAGTGATCGAGCGACTTCTCTGACTGAGGCAGCTGCATGTCTCCAGATGAGACCAGACCGGAAATGAGGAACGGGAGTTAAGACGAGGAGGCACAATATATTACTTAAATTAACAGAATATCAAAACTTCATAAATTTTTAAAAAATTAGCCGATTAATTGGTAATCAGACCCCCCCCTTATTGGTATCAGCATTGGCCCCAAAAAATCCATATTGTTCGGGCCCTAGTCAACACAACACACAGCAGCACAGCAGGGACTGATGCTCCACCATCACACTATAAAGTTTCTTCAGCACTTGACTCTGCAAGAAACGGAGAGTCAAATGCTGATTTAGGACATTGAGCCGAACTCTTCCTCTAATCGTTATTTTTGAACTTTTTTATTTAGCTGCTGTGATCAGTGGTTTACTGTACAAAGACTTCAATTAAAACTTCATTAAAATGTAATCAAAAGCGTTCCCAGTGAAGTCCGGTCTGCTGGTGAAGTCTTATTGCTCTGAGACTCCGATCCTTGTAAAGATTTTCACACCGCAGAGCGATCAAACCAAATTTAGAGCTGGTAGATTGTGACTGACCCGCTCGGCGTTCATTTTAGTCTCAGACGGTGAGGTCACGACCATCGATCAGCGGCGGTTTGACCACGTAAACACACACCTATAAGAGCTGAGGCTGCGACTTTTAACCCCCGAGTGTCCGCAGAGAAACGTTGATTGAGATCTTTCCTATTTTTATTTCTTTACAGCAGCGGTCTGAGCTGGAGGGTTGCCAGGTTTGAAGCTGTCCATCCCTCTTTTATGGCTCGGTCTGACACACACGGAGGCGTTCGGTCATATTTGTATGTTTCAGGTCAGTTTTGAGGCTCTCTGTTAACCCGGCCACTTGTGAGTCACCGCGTCCTTTCGTCACCTGAAGCGTTAAAGTTACAGGTGACTCTTTTAGCGTTTGTCGGCGCTCTCTCTCTATCCGACTCTGCGTTTGTCTCCCTGTAGCCGCCGGGTCAGTGGTTAACAGCCCGGTTTGTGGTAGTCCATCCTCCTTTTATGGCTCCTGTGACTGAGCTCTGTCTGTGGTCTGTTTCCTCGCTCTGCGTTATTGCGAACACAGGTGACTGTACATCACCGTGTCTTTAAATATGGTCCCGCAGGGTCACACCGTCTCTGATTCAGCAGGTCCAACATCTGTCAGCAGCTGTAGAGGCTGAGATGATTCACATAGAGGAGCTACACTTCTGTCAGTTTGTATGAAAAATAAATCTAACGGTGAGAGATAACGGGACGGAGCAGCTGTCCCGCTCAGTTAGTAAAGCAGGCGCCGATTTCACTTCCAGTTTTGACCTTTTCTAGCACGTGTATCTCACTCTAATCCGACTGTTTCTCATCTCTACATAAGAATTATAATCTTTTATTTAGTGACAACTTCACCAAACTTCACTTTAAAAATAAAACACTTTTCTATCATTTCTAATAACAAAACACTGAAAACGGTGTAGTGCATATGCCAAGCCAGTAAGTGGCACTGTAACGCGAGCATGTGTATAAAATTTGTTTTGATGCCATAAAAGAGTCACGCTGTGTGTCACATGATCGTTTCCAGAGATGCAGATAGACATCCACACGGAGATTAAATGGTCGTCGTTTACAGATTTATTCACTCTCTGACTCGTTTTCAAAAAGTACGTTTACAGTCACCTGAAACGCTGTTTCCGTGTGGATGAAACGCCGATACGACAAATACCTTTAGCGTTTGCTCCTGAATTTGTTTCCGTAGTGACGGGTTGATACCGCCTTCAGACAGACTTTGCAGCGGGGAGTGGTTTGCTCTTCATCTGAAACTGTGAAGTCGTACCAATTCAACACGACCGACTCGCTCTTGTCCTATTTAACCACGAAATTATCGCCTTCTTTTGCAAACGCCATGTTTGTTTACACTGGTGTGTTTGTGGGAACTGCAGGAAGGGGAAGCCTACGGTGGCCTGGAGGCACGAGACATGATAGAGAGGAAAATCGATTTGAGGATTTTAATTTTTTTAACATCGTGCAGCCCTAATCCCCTAATCCCCTAATCTCAGACAGTAAGGAGGAGTTGACAGCATGACGTCCTCAGGTCAAATGACAGGTATCGCACTAATCTGCTCACATGCAGAATAAACAACAATTTGACCATCATGTACTTGTATTTATATATATACTTTTATATACTTTTATCTCCAGGAAGTACTCGTCTGTAGTAAAGATTATTTACTGTCAAATTAACGTCTCAAAAGCAGATTCAGAGCCTTTAAATCATTCAGTTACGAGCTGTGAGTCAAACACTGTGTAACCTGCACTCTGTCACAGACAGGTTGATTTGTATGAGGGGTCAAAGGTCGGCTTGTTTTTATGATGACGCCTTCATGTTAGAGACATTTATGGCTTCATGATGACTTTCACTCTCAGTCAGAAATAAATGTTGGTATGAAGGAGAAGACGAGGAGGAGGAAGAGGTGTCTTTTTGTCTTTATTTTGTCTATTTAAAGCTGCTCTCTCTCTGTGACGTCTACATTAAATATAAATATAAATAAAGTTAATTTCTATATTTAAAAAAAAGGAGGTTTATTTATTAATTTGAGTTTCAAACACGTGACTCTGACTTCTTTAAACCTGTCTGTCAGTCTGTCCTCCTCTCTCACATGTTGACCTGACACCTTGTCCTGACAGTATCACCACCACTCTACATCTGTGTGTGTGTGTGTGTGTGTGTGTGTGTGTGTGTGTGTGTGTGTGTGTGTGTGTGTGTGTGATATCCTCACTCCTCAGAGTCAGGTTTCGTTGACCTCTTGTGACCTTTTCTGGGGTCACTGCGAGGTTGGGCCAAGAGATTCTTGACATTTCTCTTCTCAACACCTGACCCAGCACGTGTGTGTATGTGTGTGCGCATGTGTGTGTGTGTGTGTGTTCATGTTACAGTGTGCTGACAGCAGAGACAGTTTTATGTGTCTGATTTCACACCGTTATCATAATGACAGGATGAAAAACACTCTTGATAAGTTTATGAAAGCTCAAACTGCGGCCTGTCAGAGCTCAGACCGACACATTAATTTTATTCAGTCAGTCAAACAAACTAACGACTAAATAACTGTGAAGATAGAAATAAAGTGAATAGAGTAAAATATACTAGAAACGATTTAGAAAGGGTTAAATGTAAAAAATATTCACACAGAATAATCTCATCAAGCACGTCAAGTGTGCAGATTCTTATTTGACTTGTACTACAGATTTTTCTGGTGCATGTTTAACAGCACCTCATCTTGTTTTTAGGTGCTGAACTCTGCAGGAAGTGTCAAGTGATCTGTTAGAAAGTTCCAGGATTTTGCTCTTTTTACAGGAGCTGCTAAATAAAGGACATTTAACATCATGAAACTTTGAAGCTGCTCTGAAAGATCTGCTGCAGTCTCCTCATCTTTGTGCAGAAAGTCTGTCTCATTCTTGTTTTCTTTTAACAGGCAGAAACTGAGAAGAGATGAGACCTCATCTTAAACCCTGTAGGTGAGGCCTGTAGGTGGACTACGGAGGTGCAAAAAGAGACCCAGAATCCTGCTGCTCGAGTCGACTGTAGGGTTGTTTTGAGTTTCCTGCCTGAGCGTTTGTGCTTATTCATGTCAAAATAGAAAACGATGTAGTTTCTGGATTTTTTTTGTGGATTACAGTTACAGTTAGCTGCTTTCAGACCAGAAGCCTGACTGATTATCTCCTCGTGTTACCTGCACAAGTTTGACCAATTCAACACAGGACTATCAACCCGCTCTAATTTGTTGGAAAATGAAATGAACGGACAGATTTTTCGTGCCCACCGTCAGCTGTGTAACTTTCTACAGTGGGATATATCCAAAATAAACAGATTTGACTGAGGGTGGGTTCAGGACATGTGATCACATTTAAACCACATCATAAAAAATCCTGAATTATAAAAGGCTTCGTTAAGGGTGAAATAAAGGCGAAGTTTGGGCGAAGTTTGGGCGAAGTTTAGGGAAGTTTAGAGCGAACAACTCTGATATTTCTGTAAAACAGCGTGCATGTGCGTGTGCATGTGTGTGTGTGCATGTGCACGTGTGTGAAGGGTCAGGGTGTTAGAGGTTGCGGGGAGGACAAGCGGAGGTGACGCCGCATCTTGTCCTCAAGCACGGCATGATGGGAAATTTGAGAACAGTGGAGAAGGAGGAGGAGAGAGATAGAGAGAGGTCAGCCTGTCATCGCCATCGAGGGGGGGTTATCTGAGAGGGGAGGGGGGTCTATTAGGGGCGTCAGTGAAGGAGGTGGCGGGTCAGAAAGAGAGTCAGCTGATAATACGGAGGACAAAGCAGAGAGCGACCAGTGTGAAATAATCTTGAGATTATTCAAACGGGATAAAAACAACTTTAACTTCTTGATTGTTTTATGTGTGTTAGTTTGTAAGATCAGAGTCTGATTCCTCCAGTTTTATGTGTTTTTTCAGCAGCTTATGCGGATGTTGAATATGAGAATAAAGAAAATATAAAACAGCAGGTTGGCTGATCGCTGAAAGGTAACGCTGATGCTACAGGAGCCTCACATCACCTCAGGGTTTCCACTCAACTACTGCAGGAGGAAATCTGTGCAGAGATTACACGTCGAATATTCACATGAAGAAGGAAAAGCCGACCGTAACCCTGAGTCTAATAAACAAACCTCCAGGAAAACATCACTGTGGCGAACACTGAATGAGCTGATGTTCCACCCCTGCACCGTGTACAGTCTGAGAATTAGAAACAGGACGTCGGGTGCGTTTCCTCTCCATAAACCACAGTTAACTAATGTACATTTCTCTCAAAAGTACCTGTTTGCACACACACTGCATCATACAGTGAAACTGTAACTACTGACTACACCACTGATAAATAAAAAAGAAACACCAACAAACGCTCTAGTTGGCGCTGTCTTCTAGACTTAAGCCAACAACTGCTGTAGGAACAGATTCAATTTCCACTATCCGACAGTTTCTGACTCTAATTCTTACATCTACATTCAAACCCTGAATAGTCTTACTAATTTGACTTAAATAAAGCTTTTATAGCACATTTTGACTAATCTGTAGGGGCAGAATAAGGAAGGAAACAGCTGGAAGCGGTACACTCCCCCTACTGGCTGAAACTGGAAGTGACTCACTTTTGGAGCCTGGTGGACGGTGAAGGAACTGCAGTTTTCTGGACTTCACAGTAGCTTTATTTCTCACACTCTGATAATAACAGAGGAAAATGTTTCTCACAGTGATGCCGGGAGAAACATCAGCATCCGTCCTCCTCATTAAACCGAGCGGCCCAAACCTCACCCAGGAGGTCTAGTTTGCCCGGAGGCAGGTGAGCCCCACGGTGCAGGTGAGCCTCTGGGTGCAGCTCATCCACAGGGCTCTGCGGCCTCATCTTCATTCATCACGGGTCTGACACATTCCTGCTGTCCGCCTGAGGCTCACACACACTCACACACACTCACACTCACAGCGGGCTGTTGTCCTCCCACACAGAGCCATGCGGTCAAACCGACACCCCGCTCGCCCCGAACACAGAGTCCGTTCTGTTTATGAGCCCGAGGTGAAGAACGCTGGGAGTCAATGTCAGACATTTTTCAGCAGATAGATGGGTTAAGAGTTATGAAACTTATGAAGACTTGTACAGCCTGAAAAATTACTTCTATGATAAATTAAACTAAATATGAGACATAAACACAGCGGGGTCAAACGTCACGTTTCCTAAAACAAAATCAGAGCGTAGAAAAACACGCAGAAACGGCTTAAAGCTGCCAGAAAACAAAGATCATCCTTCTTTACAGGGGAAACTCGCTCACTGTACATTTACACACAACAGCAGAGTTATTTCAGTTTGTTATGATGACACTTCTCCAACTATTTAAATATGAAAGGATAAATTACAGTCTGATACGATACAACACAGTTTGAACTGAAACGAGTCGATGGTTTTTGTTATGAAAGTTACATTATAAACCCTACTTTGTGCACTTTAAACGCTGTCGTACACAATGAAGACCCTTTTCGTTATCCCTACTTCGCATCCACGCTAAACTACCACCGACTGTCGAATTTCCAAACACAAACTAGCTTTGCAGAAAATAACGTCTTCACTGATGTTTAGAGTAAACACGCACTGATAAATCAGCCGGCCGATCGATCGGTGCTGCTTTCCTAAATTTTAGGGAATCGGGGATCGGCTGATCCTTACACCTGAAACAGATTTTATCCACCAATCTTATCGACCTCAACAAAGGTCTTAGGTCAGGCCCGCCCACCAGGTCACGTGTGCATGCACGCATGCGTCAGCGCCAGCGGCACACACAACATTCATCGGGAGTATGATCACCCAGGCATGTTGAACCCACTACAAGGAAACCTAAAACTCAGGACAGTTTATTTAAGTTTATTTTGTTAGTTTGTCCTGTAGATTATCACTTTACTAACTTCCTGTGCACTTTATTTGGTAAGAAGCTCAAAAAATGTGACCAATTTATAAAATGTGGAAAATAAAAGACTAAAGGAACTGATATAATTTAGTAGTTTGGACAGAAATATTCTTAACTTTTTAAAAAAAAATTTGAGAACTTCCTCATATGCAGTTTAAACAAACACAAATGTTTGTATTGCTTTACAAGTTTAATGTTTTTCATTAAAATAAGATTGGAGCATCGAAGGTGGATGTTGTCAGTTATTAAAAAAAGAAGAAAAGGTATCGTCCAAATTTGGTATCGGCGGGTCAAGCTTTTCAAAGATCGGTGATCAGCCAGAAAATTGTGATCGTTGCACTCCTAGTTTAGTAGTCAAGCTGTTTGTGTTCCTCATACAGGCGTTTAGGACCGACTTGGAAGCTGTACGGAGTATTGACTCTCAGCTACTAAAAATATCACAAGGTGCCCAACATGTCGTCAGTTTTATAGAGTAAAAATAAAATAAGAGTAAATAAGGTTAACTCAGAATCGACAGTTTTAGGATGATGAACTAATTCCACTCTGTCGACCAATCAGCAGCCAGAAAATCAAGTGTTACTTTTGGCCTGTTTACAAAGACACAAACAGATGCTTTGGCACATGTTCTACCAGCAGTGTGTGTGTGTGTGTTTGTGTCAGAGTGTGTGTGTGTGTGCAGAAGACGGATGAGTGTGTGAATTCATCTGACTTCTTGTGTACCAGTCAGCTGGAAGCTTTTGACTTGATTAAAGCCTTTGTGTGCATGTGTGCGTGGTTGTGTGTGTGCATGTGTGTGTGTGTGTCCTCAGTATCAAAGTCTGCATGTGGTGTGTACTGTACATGTGGTGCGTTTGTGTGCGTCAGAGTTACGAACCAGATGCTGCCTGCTGTGAGAGACACGACCGTCGGGCAGAGGGAGAGATGAACGCCACCTGGACGAGCGAGAGAGAGAGAGAGAGAGAGAATTAATGTTACAGATACAAACGGATGCTGGATGGACTTTTACTGCTAAAACAAAAGAAGAGATTTTGCATTTTGAGTTAATTCTTGCAGATCTAGAAATTCTTGTAAAGCATCAATCAAGTATCTTTCTCATGTGTATATGAACCATGAGAGTCTGAGGCAGGGGGAGCAGCAGCAAAGACGACCAGGGTACAGAACAGAGCAGGCCTCAATGAGAAAGTGTTCTGTAGTCCAACCTCGACATAAACTACAATATTTAAAAAAAAAAAAAGAGATTGATATGGACTCAAAAATTCCAGAACCCACATCCATAAAGAGAACCAGGTTTTTCCACCTGTTGTTGGATGTATATAATAACTGTTACTGTGTAAAGATTCTTCTACATAAAGATACAATCCATCAATAAATTCTCTTAAAATTTTCTTAAATTTTACTAACAGGGTTTTAAGTCAGTGCTAAGTTAAGTGTCTCTAAAATGTCTAGATTTGAGTCGAAGTTAAGTCTTGGTAATAGGGTGTTAAAATGAATTATTCAAGGCTAAATTAAAGGTGTAACAAAGGTTAAGTTAAAGCTACGATAGTCCTTAGTATAGGATGCAATAAAGGGTCAGTTAAGACTGAATTAAGGGTGTAATAAGGGGTTGAAAAGGCTTAATTAAGGGTTTAATTAAGAGCTTAACAAAAGCAAAGTTAAGAATTAGGTAAAGGCTGTAATTGGGGTTAATTAAGGCTTAATCAAGGGTGTGACAAAGGCGAGTAAAAGCTTCGTTTAGGTTGTAATATAGGCTGAGCAAATGGGTAGGTAAAGGCTTCGTTAAGAGTAAAATAAAGGTGAAGTTTAGGCTAAGTTAGGGGTTGTAATAAAGTTTTGTTAAGTGAAGAGTGTAATAAAGGCCAAGTTTATGGTTTAGGTAATGGGTGTATTACGGTCAAAGTTCAGGCTGAGTTAAGGGTGCAATAAAGGGCTCGTTGAAGCTCAGGTAAGGGTATCATGAAGGCCTAGGTAAGTCTGATTCAAACGTCTAAGTAAGTCTCAATTAAGAGTGATATAAAGGTTAAATTTAGGGTTACAAAAAGGCTTATTATAGGAACTTATAGAAGGTTAGTTTGGGTTTAGTGAGGATTAGTTAAGGCTTAATTAAGGGTGTTAATTAAGCTTGATTAAGGCTGAGTCAAGGCTTACAGATGGGTGTAGTAAGGGGTCAGTTTACGCTCGGTAAAGGTTTAGTTAAGGGTTAGTCAGGAATCCTCTGGGCCTGGAGAGAAGATACCAGCTTTGGGGACATCAGGGGGTCTGGATCATCCCCAACAAAAAGAGTGTGTGTGTGTTTGTGTGAGACAATGTGTGTGTGTGTGTGAGAGAGTGTGTGTGTGTTGAAGAGGAGGAGTCTCTCTGTCCCTCAGGTCTATTGCTCTGCTGTCTCATCAATAACCTTCATATTGACAGGTGAAGGGACACACTCACACACACACACTGGCAAGGACACCCCCACAGTGTGACGACTTTCTGTGACAGTGTGTGTGTGTGTGTGAGTAAGAGTGTGTGTTCTCCTAAAGCTGGATGTAAAAGAGGTTTTCAGGTTTAGGAAGCGTCTCAGCGTGTCCTCAGCTCTGTCAGTGAGCAGGTGGTCAGTCCAGTCTCATCTGCCTTCCCCTCTGTCACACACACACACACACACACACACACACACACACACACACACACACACACACACACACACACACACACACCTTTAATCATGCAAACACAAACAAACACTCCTTACATGAAACACTAGTTGCCTGACAGATGTTCTCATTGTGTTCACTTCTGGACTACACGTATGTGTGTGTGTCTGCGTGTGTGTGTGTGTGTGTGTGTGTAAGATGGTTTTACAAGAGTGCATGAAGAAACAGAGAGGATCACTGTGGCAACAAGACTTTTATAAGCAATTTTGTGTGTTAGTGTGTGTGTGTGTGTGTGTGTGTGTGTGTGTGTGTGTGTGTTGCTGTGGATAATTAAATGCCAATAGGGGAGAGAATCTCATTTGCAGTGAAGGTCTTTATAGCAGAGTTCCCATGTCAATCACACACACACACACACACAAACACACACACACACACACAGGTTAACGAGCACATTAAGGGAGGAAAGAGAAGGAGGAGGAGATGGAAATAGAAGAGGAGATTTGAAGTGGGGAGAAAAAGGGAGGAGGAGGAAGAGGAGGAGGAGGAGGAAGAGGTTTACGAGGAGGATGTGACGGTCAGAGACGGAGATGAAAATACAGACAACATGAGAGAGAGAGACAAAGACGGAGGAGTCTGGAGAGCAGGAGTGAGGGCCTCGGTTTTAAAAAGTGTTTCAGGCTACAACTTGGATTCAAGAAAAAGAGGAGGAGGAGGAGGAGGAGGAAATAGGAGGAGTGCTGCAGCGGGCCTGTTGGGTAATCTGAAGAGACAGTTCATTTCCCTGCTGACAGCTGGGGACTCTGATACTGTGTGTGAAATACAACTGAACACACACCCAACAAATTATAACCTCAAAGACCATTAAGACCAGAGAGCTGACTGTTAAACCAGGTACTCTAATCCCTGTTCACACCTGTTTACATCATAGACACACCTAGTCCTGGTTCTCGGTCCTGAATACCTTAGAGAAGCACTTTCTAAAAAGACAGTATAACTACGGTAGACAGCATCAGTCTGTCATCCAGTCTCACAGAATTGTCCTTTAACAAATCTCCAGGTTCACCTTTTTCCACCTGTGCAATATCTCAAAAATCAGACCCATCCTGTCTCAGAACTGGACCACGGTCGCTGAGTGTTTTTCAGTTCTGATTAGACTCTAGTGTTGAGATGTCTGTCTGTCATGATAGCATGTATTGAGTCGGGGCCAGTACCAGATAAACACATGAAACTATGGTAACAACCGTTAGCTTACGTTAGCACAGATGAAAGTTCAAACAAAGACGTTTATCAAACTGTTAAAGCTCACAAACCATCGTCATATGAGAAATCCGACACTATGACTCTCTACAAGTCGTCCTTCAGGTCGTTATCTTTGTAATATTTGTGTTTTTTTTATCAAAAATCACTCTGTTTCCGACTCATAAACGATCAGCCAGTCGGATATGTTGGATATACTGCTAAATATGACGTCGCAACAACACGCAATCTGATTGGTCAGAAGTGGACACACTGTCTGCGAAACTTTAGAAAAATCGACCGTGATCCGAAAAAATAAACAACGCGATATCACAGAACGGGAAAACATCGCTGATGTGAACACTTGTATTGACAGGATACGGGTTCGAAAAAAAATATTGACGTCTGAAATTGACTAGAACTAGAAGAAGAGAGCGCGTCTCTCCTGTCTCAGCCTCTGTTCATTGAACATTAAGAATTTATTTTAAGGAGGCGGAGAGAAGAGGAAAGTGAAGGGGAATGATTATCTGATGTTAATACGTTCACACACACAATTAACACTGAGGCCAAAACAAGTTGTGTGTGTGTTTGTGTGCGAGTGTGTGTGTGTGTACCTGTGGATTGATGTGTGGTCAAATGAAAGAAGAAGGCTGCTGGATCGCGCTTGAATGGAGCTTAATTTACATGCTAATGTGTGTGTGTGTGTGTGTGTGTGTGTTAATGCTGTGGATGATTATTTTGGTCTGGATCAATGATGAGCTGACGTGCTGATATCTCTCACACACAGTTCTGACAGGTTTATTAAAAAAAAAAAAAGGTGATTTTGAAAACATTGGAGCTGAGCGGCCTGTAGAGCTCAGAGTCTGTTAGTGATCGTATTAGGAGAGAGAGACCTGTTGCTTGATTTTCAGGTGACTTTAAAGATCCATCATAACAGCTGAGAACGAGCCAGGTGGACCCTCTACTCTGTCCATGATCTCCAAAAAGAGTTTCAATCAAATATTGTGTGTTTATGAAAATTTATCCTGTAAAGTCATCATGAATAAAGAAATATAGGTACAATACATAGATATATACATATAGATACAATAGTAGTTTTAACATGGGGCTCTAAGGGGATTGACTAACTTCTGGAAACAACTCCTAGTGGTCAGTGGAGGAACTGCGGTTTTTAAAATTCTAGATTATCAACAAAAATGGCTTTAGGTTTATATTTACTCTGTAATACATCTATGTAGTGGTGCATCTATAAGACCTACGGATGTTTTAAATCTGAATTTAACCGACACCTCAGAGATGTTTCCTCCTTCCTGGGGTTAAATCAGTACGATCACCCAAAGATCACAGACCCACACGTCTGTCTGAGGAGAACAACAGAGGGGATGAAGATTCAGAATGAAGACAGAGAGAGGAGACAAAGATGGCACTGTTACCGTAGCAACCCCGAACACATCAAAGCCTCATTGAGAGTCAGGTCCCAACCCCGACTGCCACTGTAACCATAGCAACCAGGCAGCAGATACAGCAACAGAGTGAGGCAGACACAGCGAAGACGAATAAATAGACATAGATGGATAGATAGATGGAGAGAGAGAGAGAGAGAGAGAGAGAGAGAGAGAGAGAGAGAGAGAGAGAGAGAGTCTGTGGGCTTGGATTTGGAGTCTAGGTGGATTCAGTCTGATTTCTTGCTTAAGTCTGATCACACGTCTGCAGACTCTGGTGAAAGCAGGTAAAACATCATCTGAACATGTGAATTTTCTCATTTTAATCATATAGATTTATTGAATAAAAACACCTGATAAAAGCTGCTTTGATTTACTGATAAACGAGAAACATTCAGACCCAGCGGGTGTTTTTCCACAGAATCAGAGGAGGGAAACGCGACTGCAGTCTGCAAAATAGGCTGCTAGTATATTCACTCAAGATGTCATCCAAACAAAGATGTAGACATATGGAGCAGTAGGAGCAGGACAAACATGAAGTTAGAGTAATAAATGACAAAATCATTGACCTTATAGACACCTGATGAGACACCTTTATCTAAGGAGGATGGTGACTAAAGATTTCAGCGACAAACAAACAACACATCTGGAACAGTATCTCTCTGTGATCTCTGCACACACTCACAGTCTGACCCACAATATCAGCAACATCAGTTTGACCTCCTGACCTCGGTCCAGTGGGTTCATGAAAAAACATTTATTTGATTTGGTTCAGCTGATTCAGTCTGATGGTTCAGTGGCTCTATGACAGCTTTCTCATGTAAAACAGTCATTCTGTTTAAATGATGTTAAAAAAATCGATTTTCTACTCAATCTGGACTTTCAAAATAAACATCAGAGTCTAACATCTGCGGCACAAAGTCTGATTTCTCAGAACCAGACCGACAAACTCAAGTCCATTAAAACACCTAATCAGGATATAACAGGAGCTGAAGTCAGCGGTGCGTGTAAACTAATGATGTAAACTAATAAACATGGAGGAGAGAGAGCTGCACTTCACAATCCAAACCGCTCTTTGTTTTAATCTGCAGGTTTGTACTTTAAAACTTTCCCTAGCTCTCAGGTTTTCAAACACGCACACTGTTACATACTAAAATTAAAATCTTTAGTATTATTCGTATCATTAGTATCAGAGGTGATTATCAGTGATCAGCATCAGCTCCATCAGTCACACTGCTGTTGTTGTGAGACTAAATGAAGAGTCAGGAGTTCAGACCTCATGATGAAGTTCAGGTTTTTTACAGGTTTGTCCTTTTTCAAGTGTTTCCCTACTTCTCCATCATTATTGCATTAAATCTTATATCAACAAGTCAAAGTGAATATCTCAGAGTTGTGAAGGTGCAGCTTTCTTCCAGTTCTTCCAGTTTCTTAGATTTTTAGCGCTGACTCACTCCTGAAGAGACAGACTGGTCAGCTTTCCTCTGAAGGGAAAACTCCAAATTAAATGTTATTACACCTCAGATAAAGTGAACAGTACTTCACCGGTCTGAGCCCGGCAGGATATTCACTCACAGTACAGATCGCCCCCTAGTGGCACTGACAGGACACCGCAGGAGGGGGCAGGGAGCAGAGCAGTGTGAGGTGTAAAGCCGTCTACTCAGTGACCGCACTCAGAAAAGTCGAGAGGCTATCTCTCTCACACACACACTCACACACACACACACACACACACACACACACACACACACACACACACACACACACAGTCTGCAGTTATCAGCAGCTCATGACATCCATCCTGCAGGATGATTCGCTCTGACAAACATCCTCAGGAACAGCTGCGTTAAAAACTCTATTTTCAACTTTTTCTGAGATGATTTGGCGTAATCATTACTCTGATTTTACATCATCTGTAAATAATTATCTATTCAGTTTCCTCCTCATCATGCATGTTGATTTTTCTCACTAACAGACTGTTTTTCAGTCATGTAAAGCTAATGAGTGTAAAATAATGTAATTAAAGATCATTCATAGTGTTTGTTTGTAATTTCATTCCATATCTGTTATAATAAAATCGGCGTTAGCATTTCACGACCACATGTTCAGTCATTTTTTCTTTACTACTTATGGATATAGTTTCGAACAGACTGATGCGAAACAGCGAGGACGTTTTAAAAAGAGAGGAGGACGAGAAAAGACAAGAAGAGATAAAAAATAAAGAAGAAGTAGAGAAAGAAAGAAAGACAGAAGGAAAGGAGCAGCTCAGCGTTATCGACTAAATTCTCCGCCGCCTCACACAACTTCACCGCACACATACCCCGGGGCCTGTTTCCATGGCAACACAGTGATGGAGAGAGTGCAGGGCTGATGTCAGGGTCACCCAGAGTGTGAAGAGAGGGAGGAGGAGGAGTGTGTGTGTGTGTGTGTGTGTGTGTGTGTGAACAGGGGAGGTTTTGCTGAGCAGATCTGTCAGTACCTCTTTGGAGTCTTGCCAAACACACACACACACACACACACACACACACACACACACACTGCTCACTATCCCAGCGCACTGTTAGTGTGTGTGTGCGCTTGTGTGTAAGGTGTGTGTGTGTGTGTGTGTGCGAGCCCCTGCCATCAGTTTTCAATTAGGGGGTTAGTCAAACTGAGCTAACCTCCATTTCCCTCCATGAAGTACATCACAGGAGTATTATTACACCGAATACTGCGCGTTATTATTTCAGCTGGAGTCATACTCGGCTCTGTTACTGCGTTTTATAGTAATCGTAGTAATTGTAGTAAAACTGGTAGTAATTTGTGATGGCTTGTGTGTCTTTGTCATCAGCAGTCTGCAGAGTATAGATGAGAGATAAAAACCTTACACGCTGCACTGCCCCCCACTGGCTGATTGTGGTAACAGCAGCCTCTCTGCTGCAGACCTGTTGTGCTTGTTGACATGCTTTCATATAATTACAGACCTTCTACCACCAATCCCAACTTTGATTATTACTGATTCAAACCTACTTATCATGACTGTTGTTGTTAAGGTTCAGTCACTATGTTCAGTCTTAAATATGTTTACATCTGAATCCACATTCTTGCACATCTGTACGACTTTTCTACATCATCTTTACCTCATATTTTGAATTTCTTGTTTCATATTTTTTCCTTTGCAGTCAATGTTTGTCTTTTTTTTAATCTATGTTCCCTGACTATTGGAGTGCTGCTATTTATTGGCTTTTGTCAATTTTAATTCACCTCCATGTTTATTGTTCTGGCAGCAAACACTAAAAAAGAGGTTTCATTAATAAATCTGCCTGATCAGGTTGGTTTCATCAGTTTTTGTTGTTTCTTCAGGACTCCTAACACAACCACACCTCCTCTCAAACCACGTTTAACCTTTCATCAGGTAGATACACTTCTTTAACGTCATCTTCTAACACCAAATGTCTCTAATATCTCCAACAGGCGAGGTTTTGTTTACTGCTGCATATCCTTCTTTGCATTTATGTGATTTAAGTCCTGGCGTCTGAACCCTTTGAGCATGTGCAGAAAGCTTGGGTCCGCTTCGGTCTGACAGAACCGAATATTCTGAGGAGAAAATAAATCCCTGCTGACGGTTCAGTTCATCTGACTGTGACAAGTTTGATTTAGTGCAGGTTCAGTCAGACTGACTTATTTACATGTATTCTAACAGTCCAGTTTCAGGTGGACTGATGCAATAAATCAACAGTGAAGGGGATGGAAAAGTACTGAATGATGAAAGTTCAATTATTATATTATACTGAAAACAGCTGACACTGAGGGCGGTTTTGCAGTAAGGATGCTGAGCTGCATTCAGTTTGAATAAAAAACAGTTTATTCCACCTTCTAAAATGATCTTAATAATCTGGATGGTGGGAAAATCGACTAAAGTCAATCAATCAATCAATCAACTTTATTTCTATCGCACATTTAAAAGAACCACGGGGGTAGCCAAAGTGCTGTACATTGAGACATAAAAACAAATAAAACAAGCAAAGAACAAGATAGAGCGAGCAAAAATACATAAATACAATAAATAAATAAATAAATATATAAATAAGCAGGCTCACGGCAAGTGCTAAGATGATAGCAAACAAAATAACACTAAAATGTATTAAAAGCCAGTGCATTTTTAAAAGGGATTTAAACACAGGACAGTGACAGTGAGCTGGTCGTCAAAGCAAATGGAAACATTTCAGAGCTCTGCGTGAACATGTCGGGGTTTATTCTGCTTTAACAAACCCGTTTCTGGATGAAATCCTTCGGCTCTTATGGATTATTGTTTTCTAAAATAGATAACTTAAATACTATCCTCTTTGTTTGTATCATAACTGTAAACTCCAATTAAAGTCTTGATTTAAAAAGAACATTGATCTGATGGTAGACTGTGGTGTGTTTGAGGACATCTATATTAAACATCTGTATTACCATATCTAAGTATTAATGAGGTTTTAGTGACGAGAACTCTAATTTTCTAATTTTACTGTTCGAGAAAGTTTGAAGCCAAACCCTGAAACCAGCGAAGCACAAACACAACCTAGCCTTAAAAACACACACTCACGCTTACACACATGAAATACAGAGAATAGACTGTGGGTGTGCAGGTGAAGACAGACAGAGATTTGTCCTCTCACACACACACACACACACACTGGGTTTGAAGGTTTATTTAACTGCCTCTTGAAAAGAAAAGCAAACGATCACACCCATCTTCTGTCTTTCATTCCCACAGTTTTTATTCTCTCTCTCTGTCCATCATCGGTGTGATAACGAGGTTGTAAGAGCTTGTTAACCTCACACACACACACACATACACACACCGCAGCTCAACCCAAAACCACAGCCGCTGTGTGTGTGTGTGTGTCCCTCTCTCTCTCTCTCCCTCTGTCAGCACCTGATTTAAAAATACTTAAGATGAAGTAATATTTGCCTCCAGACATTTGTGTGTGTTTGTGTAGAGAGAGAGGCCTGTTTGACTTTGACTTACAGAGCTGCATGCGTGTGTGCGTGTGCGAGTGTGTGAGAGTGTGTGTGAGTGTGTGCATTTCCACTGGCAGTTTACATGTCAGAATGTCGGCAACCAGGTGTAAAATGTTGCTTCCTCGGCAACACTGTAACCAGGAAGAGACAAACACAGAGATCAACCAATCAGAGCGCAGAATAGTGAGTGACCGTATTATAGCCTGAGTGTCAGAAATAGTATAAACCACACAAACACACACTGACCTGTTACCTGTTTGAACACATGGACTGACCTGTGTTTTGGTGAACAGTAAAACACCCTCAGACTCTGATAGCGTCCTTCTGTACGATTTCTGAATAGTGTTAATAGTGAAATAAAACTACAAAGTCCTCCTGCTGTGTTACTCTTACTCCAAGCCCTTCCTTTTCTTTTTTCTGACTTGTGGAACTGAGGACTACACTTCCAAGGATGCATTGCAAAGTAGAATCACTCCTCTGCATCCTGGATTAAACTCTGCCGAATATCCAAACCATCAACATGCAAACATATCTCCTTGTCCATAACACAAAAAAAACACAAAGACTGTCATTTGTCAAAATCCACTTAAAGCAAAAATTGCAGTAAACAGTCAAACTCAGTTCTGTACAGGATCTCAGTGTTCAGTGTCCTCAGCATGAAATCACTGAAACAGTTCAACTTTAAGTTAACCACTGAGCTTAACAACATCGCTCTTGAATCACCATCAATCAGAATCAAGAATGAGTGGGGCGCCTTATATTAACAATGGCAAAGGCATTTAAGTCCTACTCCCAGGTCTGGGTCTGCTACCTGACCTGATATGGTTTCTGTTCATTGTTTTTAAAGTGGCTATATTGACTCTCAGCAAATACGAAGCATAGAGGAAATGTTCAAACAGACTTAAATGTCACAACTAAGAGAGGTGGAAGTAAAAATGACGGATCTTCAGACCTGCTCATACTCAATCTCACTGGGTCAACAACTGCTGTCAATTTCAACAACATCCCATTGATGGTAGATGCAGTGATCCAATCACAGTCCTTCATTTAAGATGATGATACCAGAAATAACCAAGTCTACTTGTAAATAATCAAGATGGCAGCTTAGAGAGTCCATTTAATCCACTACAGTTACTACAGTCGATGTGTTTACAACCATTACAAAAAACGTGAGTGACCATGCAGACATCATGCTAACACTGACCCCCGTGCTTTTTGAAGAATCAGCATATGGAGCACAGAAACCTGTATGAGGATGCTGATCGGAAGCAGCTGATTATCAGTGTGAAAAAAAGTGAGAAAGTCCTTTTACCATCCTACAAACTGATTCATCCATTCAACATTAACTCCAGGTGTAAATCTTCACAGAAGCTTGAGATTACTTTATAGAGATCAGAAACTTAAAGATGCTTCTGCACGCTCTGCTCACTGGATTATGAGACAGGCTGATGCTCCACGTCTGATAAAATTACGACACTAGTATAGGTTTTTTTGACTTACT